TTCACTCCCGTACAAACATAAAGTGCGTCTAGTTATATATATATATATATATATATATATATATATATATACTAAACGAAACGTGAGCAATAAACTTTGAGCTCTTCGTAGTAGAAAATGATATAACTTGGGTGCAAATCATCCGTAAGCACGAAGAGCTCCGATGACTCCCATTTGACGAGACGTAGAATCTCAATGAGGTATTGATCGTTAGCGATGTTCAAATAATGTTATGAATTCCCGAATGACTCTTTGTATACCTGCTGGCCCGCACCTCCTCTGGCANGGCATCCAAAAGGACAATAATTTAAGGTCGTAGGAGGAGAGAGATGAAAAAAGGCCCTAAGGGGGCCAACAAATGGGAACTCAGGTGGCTCCGGATTTGAATCTTGCGCAGCAGATTTTTATGAGCTGTCTCCATGATTTATCAAATAGAAACTGAGTTCCGAAATAGATATTATGTTGGAACCGAGGGATATCATGAGTACCGTACTTACGGACTCTAACTACGCTTGCCTAGTTGGAAGTTGGAAGTAAGTTAGAAGAAAACACTGAGAGACTGATTGAAGCTTTGGACGGTTTTCCCATGCTCAACACCAACATAATGAACAGAGTCGGAATCATCAGTAAAAGTGCTGATTCTTCACTGCGATAAGAACGTAAATTTCATTTATACAGAAAGCCCTAAAGTAAAAAAGATAAGGGCCGAATGTAGAAAGATTCTAATGCCAGCGTATCGTAAGCGTTTCGAGGTTTCAAAATGATCGATGATCGGAGTAAACCCGAGGGAAGAATATCGGATGATGAACACGTGGCGCACTTCTCAAACCATCATGTTCAGTTGATGACTCATAGTCGTAGGGTGAATTAGGGAAAACTAAACAGGTGAGAACCACTACGATTGTAAAGAGTGGCCCTTTGTCGCTGATCTTTCATGAAACGCATTTTGGGGTGCTGGCTACCAAGGCTCCTCAATATTCAGTCTGTTTTGCATAGCGGTTGTCACAGGAACGCAGCTCTGACAACATTGCCGTTAGTTTAGGTAGGTAGGTAGTTTGTCAATAAAAATTAACCCACCCACACTAGCAGCTTGAAGGCTTCCATATGTTTTTTCGGAGTTGCCTGCCCAGAATTTTGGACTGTCTGACTACATACACACATCACCTCAAATGCAGACGTAACCAGTAGACCGACTTCTAGGGCTCTTACAAACCCGTCTCTACACACACGCAGGACAGTGACCTGTAATTCGGCAACAAGCAGTAATTTTCTGCCAAAGATGTCCTAATCTAGTAGAAAATTTCGCTCCTTGGTAAATCAGTCTGCCTTTTACACATTGGAAGCAGGTTAGCTACGTCACCCGAAACTTTTGACAGTAAGACTAATTACACCATATTCTGTCCATACTATTTTTATCTGACTGTATGCATGAGTTGCAGATATGATTGCTAAGCACCGTTATAATTTCACAAACTGCAACGTCCCCTCCGCTTGCACAAAGCTTTCATTGACTTCGAATGGTTTGATTTGAAACTCACAACGATATGATCCAGTTCGACAGTGTACGTCTTCTCTCCTTGGAAGCCCTGGCATTGACTCATCACATATTTTCATGATAATACAGAGTTAGCAGATAGGATTCTTGGAAAATCTTCTTAGAAACCTGAGGACTACTTGATGTAAGGTTGGAACCACACCACGTGATTCACACCTCATTTTGATCCTCACCGTGATCTGACTCGGAAGCATATCCGAACTTGTTTCTAGACAGGCTCAGAAAAATGTCTAGCTAGTGCCCTGTAAGATGGAACGCACTAATCATGTGTTTTCTGATAATCCTTCGGCAGTCCACTGCCATTTTCATTCCTTCTGTAACTGACCAGCTAAGCACGTTGTCTTAGATTCCGCTAGTTTTATTTTATTATATAACTCAGTGTTATTTTACTGCAAACGTCTCGCATGAGTATGAGGGGCAGTATGTAGCACTAATCATGAGGTAACCTTGGAGATGAAGAGGAACTTTGGATTATTGAACCAATACTTTGCGTGTATTTAGAGCGTACAAACTGCCACTAATTCTTTAATCAGAAGTTACTCTGATGCTTCTAGTTTCTTCGTGTATGCAACCCATAGTCATACTCAGATCGGTGCTGAACAGATCCAAAGTTCAAGTCACTGACCTTTCATAAGAACACTCAGAGATAATGTTTAGGGAATACTTTTCAGGAACACTTCAAACTCAGCCTGTCTTTCACTGCGCAGAGATTTTTATAGATGCTAGGACTGAGGAATTGTGAGTAACTGAATCGCGCACAGCAATGTCATGTACCTATTCGATATCGGTAGGCGGTTAACAGCAAAGGAAGCTGAAATCATCGCGAAATCAACATATAACCATCAAAATTAGATAATAGAGCCTGTTTGAATTCAGGGTAGTTGCCCATAACTTAGAATCTCATTCATCAACCACCATCTTTTTGCGCTACCGTAAGTATCTATGGCAGCGGAAGTCAACAACTGATCATGTGGTTTGATTATAACAAGCGACTCTTGGGAACCTTTCGTTTTTGGCACTATTCGACCGGATATCCCACACAAAGCCCATTTCACGCTCTAGTTGGCACCATATTCGAAATATTGGAGGAGGACAACAAGCGACTCGTAGGAACCTTTCGTTTTTGACACTATTCGACCGGATATCCCGCACAAAGTCCGTCTCACGCTCTAGCTGGCACCATATTCGAAATATTGGAGGAGGATTTCTTGACTTAGAAATACTCACACGGTTTCTACAAACTCCTCAAAAGCCCACTACCATTTTTGCCATTTTTGGAACTCATCCCTCAGGCTGTTTGGCGTAAACACCCAAATGCGTACAACTGAAGAAATGCACTTATTTGCAACTTGCTTTGGTATTGACAAGAAACGCAAAAGGAACTTTCGTTTGTTCTATACTTATACCGAATTTTATGTTCTGTCAAGTAAATGTAACGCCATATCTCGAATAGCATGCCAACGGAAACAAGAAGTTGCCTCCGTGTAGCGCGTACACTTGAGTAGTATCGTGAACGAAAGATTCACATGAGTATCTTGTTGACACTAACACAATCAGAAAACGAGTATATTCCGCCAGTAAGCTAGGATTTTTGTACAACTATAACATGAAACTAATGGAAACTTGTAGACCAACCCTGCTGAATAAGACCCAGCAAGGCTGAAGCCCTCAGTAGGCTGTGGAAGTGTTTTCGGAAGCGCTAAGAATAATGTGTTATATCAGCCGAAACAGACGAAAAAGGAAGTCTTAAGATCTGTACCTAAGTATTTCTTCCTAATTCATCTTATACATCACCTAGGAAACTGAGTAAATCACAAAAGACAGATTTCCCAAGAATTACGGGTTTTAACATTTATTTATAGTGGCGGTTTTACATTGTTCTTTTGCAATCTGAAACGCGTCGGTGTGAAATTTCAGCCTTCAAACTTTGATTGCAACAAAAAAAGAAAATATGCCTCAGTGGGAAGTTTAATGTCAGCCTAAACTCAGTTGATTCATTGTTATCAGTTAGGGAATTGTGTGTTTTGGAGCGCTAATAGAAAATTCGTCTTTTTCAGTCAAACACAACCTAAACATTCAAGACCGAAACGTTATTGATAAATTTCTACATTCTATCGTCAAGCTAACCGTGTGAGTTGCTTTAGTGCTCACAGGGCTTGTGAATTCATTTTGCTTCGGCATCCAAAGCTGGTTCATAATGTCACTCGCATTCAGGTTAAACAGACACTAAATGGTAAAATGGACCAACATGCGACATGGAAACTGGTTGTAACTGTCGCTTAATCAACGCCGTAACCACCCTTTGAGATGTGTTCCCAGCTTTTTGCGCGGTCTTTTACAGTTCTTTGCCACAATAACACATATGAGTACAAAATAGATTGTCACGAACGTTTCAATCAGACATCGACGTTGAGCCTTAGTCATACTCAGCTGTCAACTTCCTCACCGCTTGTTCACATATATATTTCAAACACTTGTCTCGATCAATGATTCAGTGGCTCTTTTCCTGTCTGGTCCATCCAAAATGATGTGTCAGCATCGCAAGGGGAAGTTCAATCCACATTTTATCCTTCATTATCCTCTTGACCGCTATGAATACATTCTCCTTCTCCCGCACGTTGCCAACAGTAAATGAGGCCATTTGATCGCAGATTTTTCGTCAATAAATATCATATTTTTCAGTTTGTCACCACGTAAGATCTACATTT